ACCCGCTCCCCTCAGAACCGAGCCCCGTCTGCCACGACCAGACCTTGTCACCATGCTGTCCGAGGCCATGCGGTTATTATCCTTTTAGAAAAAGGGGTCACAGAAGTCCTGAAGTTGTTACCTAGACCCTACCTCTTCCTATCCTCTTTGCCCTTCCAAACCCGGCCTGGGCTGTTGCCTTTAAAAGCTAGTGCTGCAGAGTGACTTCATGTTATCTGGGCCCATAATGTGTTTATTGGCTATAGTTAAGTCACTGCTACTGTTGCTGCAATTTAGTTATGGTGTTGCTGGCATGTTTCCATCGTACAGTACGGCATAAAAGAAAATGTGAATGAATCTCTGAAGTGGCTGCATTCAAATGGTAGTTGCCAAGCTGAAGGAAATTAGGCACCAGCAGCAGCCTCAAAAACAGCTATGCATTTTGTTTTTTCCTCTCTAAAGACTCTGAAAAGCACACTGGATCAGAAGGGAGGATTCATCAGTTCAGGACAAAAACGGAAGAACATAATGGAACGAGAAGTCTCTCCACACAGCTTCCCATGTGGTGAGTAGGGTAGCAAACGGCTGGTTCCGATCAACATTGAACTATGTTTTTCTTTCATAAGGTGAAACAGGCCACAAATAAAAGGTTTTAGTGACAAACCTGGAAGATGGGTAGATAGACAGGATGACAGGATGAATACATTATAAATTATAGCCTGGGAGCCAAAAGAGCATGGTACAAGGAAGATGAGTTGTTGTTGCAGGGTTGTGGAGAGAGACAGATGATTTCCAGATTAGACTGTTTGAGCGTTAAAAGAGCAACCTATCCATAGCCTCAATAGAACTGAAGGCTTTTAAGCTGTGTCCTCAGACAAGGGGAAGGGACCAATTGTGGAAGAAGTGTCTGTTGCTTGGTGACCTTCCCACGGTGGTCTGAGGACTGTTCCAATAGCCCTTGTGAATAACTGGAGCTGGAGCTGGCTGAACCTTTGGTTCAGTGACTCACTCAGCTCATGTTCCCCTTCAGACCAAGAGCTCACATAGCCGAATATCCTGTCCCTAAACATGACAAGTCAATGCCAAGGGACTATGAGCTGAGGAAGTGTACAAGATAGCTTTCCTCTGATACTCTTCCAGTTTCTGATTATTTTCAGCCCAAGGACTTCCTATGCATGTGGTTTACCTAGGTAGTAACCCCCAATGGCTTTCTCCCAGATGCTTTTTCAGTCTCCCCCACCCCGAACCTGTGCAAATTTCCTGAGTCCACAATCTCTTTTGTCACAGAGTCCCACAAGTCTGCTTACCCTGCTGCAAAGAATGTGGACTTCACAGTTGCTTGGATACAGGCTTCAGCTTGATCTTTCTTAAAGCTTAGACCTAAAGGAGACTTTTTTCATTCCCTGCCTCTTGCAGCCCAGTGCTTTAAAGATACAACAGCTTTGCTCTGTAACAGGGTACATTAAATCAGCAGATAGCTCCCCAATTACTTAGCAGCCAGGCTGACAACTGAGGGGGAGGAGGTAGACAGACGCGTGCTCATTTTATGGGTTTTTCCGAAGCACGTGATAGCAGATTTTGTAAGAAAGAGGATGCTGGACTAGAGGGATTCCAGCTTTACCTCACTATAACTTCCCCTCTAAAGGGACCCAAAACCAGTTAAGGAAAACTTGTAGAAGTTGGAGGGTTTTTTAAAACTCTTGAGCTGCCTGTATTACTTTTGCAAAGCTTGACTAACTTATTAACGAAGGGCCACGTGCTCAATAAGTGTCTGCAGTATGGACTTTAAGTCACCATCAGCATGGAACAGAGACAAATCCTGTTCTAAAGGAGAGGCTTTCAATTAACATTTGAATCGTTCACACTTAGTATTGATTGCCAATAAAT